CGATTCTGCAAGCACAATGATTTATTGGACCAGACTCGTTTTTTTTTTTTTTTTTTTTTTTTTTTTTGTGTGTCACACCTTGCATGTTTCCGATGATAGCTTATTCCATCAGGTGATGTAGCAGCAAGGAAACTGATTAAGAAAGTCACGTGATGGCAGGGAAGAGGAAGGCTGGTGAAGAGAATGGAATTTAATTATAGGTGGAAGAAGAGAATACCAGACTTTGCAGGCATTTAGTGGAGGGATAAAGATGACTCTGAAACCATAGTCTCGTTTTGTTCTGACTACGTAACAACCGTACTGTCGTAGGAATGGACGGAAAAAGGGAGGAAAGGATAGGAGAAATTTTCAAAGATAATTTATAAATGAATCACTGAAAGAGAGATTTAATGTATTAATTATTCATTATGAACATCATTACTGATTTGAGTTACATTTGCAAAAAAAAAAAAAAAAAAAAATATCAATTAAACTATCATAATTTTTAAGAGCTGGTATTATTTTTTGAGTATGGCAATTATAACATTAAATTCATTTTTACCAAATTCTGAATAAAACACTTTCGTAGTTTTAAATATTTCAGTAAATCTAGAAAGGTGCTCTTCAGGACCAGGTCTCCAGAAACGTGTGCATGTATGCATGTACGTGTTCATCTGTGCATGTATGTATGTACGTACATATGTATTTGTGTGTGCACACACATATATGGGCATATACATGCATACACATGTGCATACATACATATACTCCTGAATCTGGTCATGATAACAGAAGAATACCTCTAGAAATATCTGCATTATTTTTAGCACCAGGTGTGTTATCAGTTTTACTTTTTAATATTTTTATTTTATTTTTTGTTTTTATTATTTATTTATTTATTTTCAATGCAGAAAATCGAAAGAAAATATGTCTTGTTCGCATTAGAACCAGAATCATCATGGACGCTAAGGTCCATCTGTTCGGTGTTTTCGCCCAAAAAGCGGATTTTTTTTTTTTTTTTTTTTTTTTCGCAGTTGTACCGAAACTTTTTAAACCTAATTTTCAGTTTCATATACTTTGCGACTGTAATGATCTTTGCATTAGATATTTGTAGTGTAAAATAGTATTTTTCTTTCAAATCGAATCAATTTAGTGTTCCTCGTGTCATTGTGCACGTGTCAATCGGGAATTCGTATGATATTGGATTTTTCTTCTAAATTTAATTTGACTTTCATTGAATTATAAAAAACTACCAGATAATGTTCAGCATTTCAACTCTCACTATCTCGACGAGTCTGGTGTGTAGTAGGGATCCAAACGCGTACAAAGTTGGTTAGCTTACAGATTATAAAGTCTTTACATATTATGACTCCAGCCGATTATCCTATAAAATGGTATATTGCTGTTGGGAATTAGGTCGTCGCTTATAATGGCCCACTAAACATAGCAATTATAACTCGTGGCTCTATAATTATAACTCCCTCTAAATGCTTTATATTGTCAATATAGCTTGTGTTGTCTAAATAAACATGTTTTTAATAATTGTTTGATACTGCGAAATATAATAACTTTCATTTAACTGAATTTTGAATTTATTTTATTAAACAAAGAAAAAGCAAAACCAATTTTGAAAACAGTAAGAAAAGACGGTACTATTCGGTTTCGAGGGCCGTAAAAAATCGCCAAACTATTGTTGATGCCAATGCTGCCAAAAGTAATTGCGGCAACCCTAATAATTGTCGCAAGAAAGGAAGTATAATAGTAAAAATAAGTATCTAAGATTGATGTTTTAATTTAGATGAAAAGTTAATTTCATATAATAATTTTTTATTATTATAATTTATATGAAAAAGGCTAAACATGACTGAATGGAAGCATAAGAGTAAATAACTATTTCAGATCATTATTATAATTTATATAAAAATTGCTAAACATAACTGAATGGATGCCTGCGTCGCTATTTCGCTACCGACTTATCGCTAAAGCTTAATTTCATCTCGTTGGTTGTTCAAACGTAATTTTCTATAATGAATGATGCCTTTTCTTTTAAAATATTCAGAATCGGAATTCAGAAGTGCAGAATCGCTCACTTAATTGTTTGCCGCTTTTTACAAGGGTAAAAACAATTGGATTTTTGTCAATTTTATTTTACTTTTTAAATGAAAATAGGTCGATGTGTACATAGATAAAGTCAAGGGAGTGTGCAGTGCCATTTTTGTGCAATTCTGGGATTTTTTTTTAAGTGAAAATAGGTCGATGTGCACATGGATACCGAGTATGTGCAATTCCTAAAAACGCGCCAAGCAGTGGGTGATTCTGCACTTTACCCAAAATTCTATTGCCGACTTTTCATCATAGGCAATTCCCAAATTGTTAAATCCATAGGATATCCAAAAAGGGTTTAAAATCCAAAAAGGATTTAAAAATTAAACTAGTATTTCAATGGCGTCTTAAGAAATATAGAACTATATAAACTTACGCAATCTGAAACCAGCGCGTACGCTAGATTTGGCGCGCTGTTAAATGGGCGCGTTTGCTAGATTTGGCGCTTTTGCGCATACATTTTCGCTGCAATTTTTTTACGGCGCTCAAAACAGAAGAGTACAGAAAAGGTAAATTTGAAATTTTAAAGTAATTTAATGAAAATATTTTATGTAATCATAATTTTAATTAAAATGAAGTGTAAAATACTTTTATACAGTTTTTCTTAGTTTAGCGAATTGAGCTTTCTTATTTGCTATAAAAATAAGTAAAAATTATAAAAACAAATAAAATAATAAATTGACAACTGTCACAAAACTTCAATAAAATGGTATTTTTTAAATTTCTGTGCAGAATATTTTTATTAATTTTCTGATCTTTTATATACTTTTATTGATCTCATTTCTTCAATGATTTCGCATCTTCTAAATATTCATTTTTTTTTTTTTTTTGAAAAAAATCGAGCTTAATCTTAAAAAAGTAAACTTTTCAAAACCATTCAACATTACATTTATATTCCATAAAATAAATTCTTGTTTAGTTCCAACTCATAATCCTGCTATACTACAAACTTTGCTTACCCGTCTTGCAGTCTTAGGTCTGGAAGACCGGTGAACAAAGTCGTAGTATAGCAGTCTTAGATCTGGAAACATTTTGGATCTAAAATATTCGCCTTAAAAGAAAATTAATAAATGACAGAAACTATTCAGTAATTGAAACACTTAAACACTATTTTTAAAATTTGCTTTAATACTTACAAACATAAAGGATTACTGGTTAGAGGGGAAGTTTCGTAAGAAAACTATTCATATTTGCTCGCAAAACAAAGTTTTTTTTATGTAAAATATAAGCATATTTTTCGTAATAAAAACCTCATGCTGATACCTCATGTCATGTCGTATGATCGTTCCAAAGCTAGGTTCAGTAATTTTATTAGGGAACAGGCAAATTGTCTCAAATTTTATTTCCCTTTCTCTCGGATCACACTATATAAATATATATATATAAATATGTCTTGCAAGAGCAAATTAAATGAGAGTCATTAATGATAAAAATGTATCAATATATATATATATATATATATATACACAAAACATTTCACATGAAGTAATTAAATGTGGTTAATATTAATAAAGCATTAAAGAATAAAAAATTAAATTCTTATTAACTTTATTTATTTACTGATTTGGTCGCAGACAAATTCAAACGTCTTCATTCTTAATTACATTTTATTATTTCCATTCAAAATGTGATCACGAACTGCAAAATGTTTCATTCAAAACAAATTAGAAAAAAGGAAAATCATATAAATTAATTACTTAATACACCACACTTATAAAAGTCAGCTGTCCCGTTAGAAAATTCTAAAAGTCGTAATTATGAATAAATCTATTTTACCTGACAGGTATTTCCGTCGATGCCGACGCTGCTTCTGGAGTCAATCATGAGTCATAGAATAGATTACGATCTACCTTTATGATATAAACATTTATTGCATTTTCTTTTACAGGACGAAAATTGAATCTTTCGGAGATGAATTACATAACTGTCGAAATAATCACAGCTATCGGTCATAGTAAAAGACAGAAAGTTAGCTGCGCAGCGATAAAAACTCTCACTGCTGTCCCGCTTTCTAAGCGACTACTTCTAACGTAAAGAAAAGTATACGAAACCAGACGATAATAACTTTTGGATGCCAAAATTCCAAATTCAAAAACAGGATGTAGAATAAATCATGGATGTAGAATGGCTTGCTACCTGACGGTGACAATGGCCCATTAGCATTTAGTATTGCACACATGCACTTAAATTAGAAACTTAATTTAGAAATTAATATGAAAATGAATTCCCTTCCCCCATTTTTCGATTAAAAAGAAGGAGAAGGAGTATTGTTATATCTATCTTGTTCATGTCATTTAGAAACTTCCTTCCTAGCTCTGTTCAAATAATACCTTGAAAATATTTAAACGCATTATATTTCTTCAAGTGAAAGAGATAAAACAAATAATAATAAAAATTGCATCAAAGCTAAATACCTAAGGAAAAGCTTCTGATTTGGAGTGGGAAAAAATGTCTGTATTATGCATTCTGATTGCACTTAACCTTTTTAAGCAAATAAACTTTTCTATTATCTGTTGCATGGTACACTAGCAGCTGAGCATATATGATCACTGAAAGTTAGTACTTTAGTACTTTTAATTCAAGTCAAATCTCTGTGAGAGGGTGACTACATAGCAAAGTAGTTTTATCTATGCGTATCTGGAATACTAGTTATTTTTCCTGAGGAAGTCCTCCACGAAGTATTTCTTCCCTAAATACATATTTGTGCGCTTTGCCATAATAACGTAATAAATCCAATTTAATCCACACCTGCTCGTTCTTAATATTTTATATCAATCTGCTTTAGTTTCTTTAAGTTCTGTTATTTCGCATATTTTTCTGGATTTCGTATTACCTAAAGAAATGTGCTTTCTCAGAGGATTTTCTGTCTATCAGTTGCTAAAACAAATGGCAATGATCTTTTCTGTTTTGCCGCCGACGGTCCTACTACGTGAAACATTTACATCAATCGATTGAAGTAACTTACCATTGTTTTATGCGCTAAAATTGCTAAGAATATGCTTTGAGTATTTAATATCTTCTGAATATACATCTTTGAACATTTCTGGTAACGAAATTTAATGATACACAAGATTGATTTGATGCAGCTACCCACCTTTCACATTAGCATACACATAACTAACTGTACCTGTAACTACGTATGTTTAAGCAAAGAAATAAACATTGAAGTTTTGCTTCAAAAGCTACAGATCACAAAGTGATGTTTTTTTTATTCTTGATTGTAAATCCCTAGAAAACGAAAAATGATGGCCGATTGAAAAGAATTCACGCCCTTTATCCATCTTGGGGTGGTGCTGGCTTAGCAAGAAGGCGAAAGTGCCCTGGAATGGGTGCTCAACAAGGGAAAGAGACCCGATGCGGCAGTGGATCCTCTGTCAGTAGCAATCGTGGTAAACCGGCTAAACACTATCAGAGAAGCAAAGCATCTTCTAAAGAATCAAGATCTTCTCTAGCAGCCGGTAATGTCTTTACTGAGCACAATGGTTAGTATTTCATTTTTAAAATTTTTTCAAGATACATATGATCGATGATTCCCTATATTTTTTATTTTTTCATATGACTTCTAATTTATCTAGATTTATGTGAAATGCATCTTTAATAAGTAATTCACTTTCTATAAATGTTAGTTATGCTCATTTCTGTTGCACTTTGATATGTAGCTAACTTTGTCATGTTTATCTTCAAATCTTTGTTTAGTATAAATAGGTATACGATTTCTGTGTTTTTGAATTCATACGGGCTAAGAATTAACTGTTATATTTATTTCAGTGTTTAATTATTTCTTTTTCTGTATGTAGTATAGTGTGGATCTCATTTTCTATGCAAATTCAGGTTTTCCATTATTTCTTCTACATTATTAAAATTGTCTCTTTACCTGTTATTTTATTTTGTATTTGGAAAATTCATTGTTGTACATCCACTAAAAGTTCTTAAGTGATGAATAATTCCTTTGTAAGTGCTTTGAAGTGGGATTTTTGTTTTTCTTGTAAACTTCAGAGTTTGTTTTCATTTGTGCACGCTTCAGAGATATTCCAAATAATAGTTTCTCTGTTATCACTATGTATTTGTTAAAATCAAATTAAAATTGGTTGATTTTAAATCTGTATTTTGTATTTGGCAGTGTGCCAAATAAGTTTATTTTTACATTTATTATTCAGTATTGTATAAAAATTCAATCAGAATTAAATGCAGAAATTTATTTAATGAAGAATTGTTTTTTTAGAATGTCTAATTTTTTTTTTTTCATGTTGTTTAACAATATATTATACAAGTAAATTTTGTATAAAAAATCTCTCAAAATCTAGGCCAAGACCATAAAAATCATAGAATGATTTAGCTTAAATGTAGAAAATCTTCATCAAAAAAGAGGGTTGATGTAAAGTAAGTAAAAAATAATTTGCATAATTCATGGTTTGCATATGTAATTTTTTTATCATGCACTACAACTTACGTGATTATTAAATATCTTATAACATATTTAGACTTTTTAATTACTTAAAATCTTCTTGGATTGACATTGGATACTGAAATTTCATTTAAAAAAAGTTAAGTTAAATTAAGATTAAACTTAACTTATTTTGAATTATATATTATTTATACAACATATAATTCAAAATAAATATATTTTGGAATCTAGATATTTTGCAAAGTCCTGTTAAAAAAATACTTTATTCTTTTTCTGTTGATTTCCCACTCTCAAACCAGAATTTTATTTCAAGTCAGTGCATGGATTAGTAACAAAGTGCATTGATTAGTGTCACATAATGTTCAGTTTTTGAAATATAAAACTATGCTGATTTCTAATAGATGATATTTGTATGAATCTGGTAAACTTTTATTTTCACCATAATTTATAAGATTATGAAAAAGAATACGTAAATCAGATGATCAAGAAGAATTTTATGATTTAAATAAACTGCATTTATTTATACAAAACCTTCAAAATCTGACTTATCAGAATTAAATAAACTTAATGACCATTAAAGTCACTTTTATCACTGTGTTTTAAATCATTTCTTTCACCATCGCTATCTTCATGTTCATTTTCTTTTTGGTGATTTCTGATTTAATGAAAGCTGATACGATCATATGAGCTTGGACAAACTCCCATACTTTATCAGCCCATAAGACCTCATGCAAAGCTTTTCTCATTTATCTGAAATTTGTTATGGAATTTGAGTTCAATTCGCATACATTCCTCTTACTTCTTTCTTAGTTTGTGCATGAAAATTTTATTGATTGTGAGATCTAGTGGTTATACAATTTTTGTAAGCCCCCTTGTATAACCGAGACATCGGCGCTAAGTTTTTTTCCTTCAGATTTTACTGTATCCACTTAATGAGTTGCATTTAATCCAGAATTACAAGTCCCAGAGTTTTGAAAAAAAACACCTTTTCTTTTTTGATAAATTTTTTTCAGCCAAAAAAACATCACTTCTTCGCACACCCATCCTTTTTCGTTAGAGCAAATAATGACCCCTTTAGGGAAGTTTTCTATCATAATTGTTTTTCATTTGAAAATATTCAAAGGGGTTAACTTCTTTACATTGGTGCACAAACCAAAACACAGTTAAAATAAGTCCTTTCATTCCCAGTTGTTAAGTCAGAAATAGTTTTTTCAAGTGTAGAATGAACAATGCTGCTCAGAAGACAATGAAATTAGCAGGTGCCATATCCATATTAATTGTTCACCATTTATTTAAATGATACTATTCTGTTTTGTTGGCGCAAATCTCGTCAAGTAGACTTTATTGGCGAAAACACGCAGTATACACATAAAAAGTGTTGACAAATGTTAGATCTAAGAATTTTTTATTTTTAAGGTATAAACATTTTAATGTCATTTAAAATTTTGTAAAAAGCCAACAAATAAAGACAATAAATTTGTAAAAAGACATTACTTTAAGAATTTACTATGCTTTCATCGTACAACATCCTGATTCGCCGGCTCATATCATGTGACCTCAAGTGATCTCATCTACAAAAATCTAATTCTCTCAGTAATTATCTACATTAATTTGAAGTTAAATCTTAATTTGAGTTTAAATGCAAGAATTATTTCAATTGGTACGAATACCTTACTCAGAAATTAAAACACAGTGCTTTACTTAGCTAGTGCATTCTCATTAAAATCGATAATTTAACCCTTGACTTTTCTATATTTTCGCCATCGAATGAGCAGTGTGAGTGCATCCTAATTGACTTAATTACCACCTGCAAATGGCCTTAGGGCATAAAATTGAACTATCTGGTAAAAATTCTATGTGATTTTATGCCAGTATTGAAATAAACAATTAATCTGATAAGAAATGGCTGTGACTTGCTTTGAAAATGAAAAAGTTAAAGTAAAAGATTACCAGTGAGGATATTTCATTTGGCATCGGTTGTACCATTACTGGCGACTTTATCGCTTGCGCTGGCAAAACGGAAAAGTACCATTTAAATTTTGTGCTTTAATTTTCTTAGATGTGTAAGCTTAAAAAAAACTATCTTTTCTTAAAGCCAGTCCACAGGAAGCTTCTGTTCAGCTGTTGTTATGGTCCTGGTGGATATTGTCTTTTGTAAAAGAAATTAATGCACACATAATTTATTTTTATGATTTAGCAATTTATTTTTTTAAAAATGTTTGCATATTCCAGATTACATACAATTAAATAATGGACTGTTGGGGATAAAAATGTTTCTTAAACATCAATAATTTCTATACATATTCGTCTCCTTTTTGTATTTCTCATAGAAATTTTACTTTATTAAATGGCATCTGATAGTTCAGTAAACCTTTATCAAACACAGGCTTGCAGAATGGTATTTTATGTTTACAATTTATCTTAATTATCTGCATTTAATTTGTCCAGTGTGAGAATTTCAATTACATGGGGTATGCTACAGAGGGTGCATTGTGTTAGTAATCTTTAATGGCTGGTTTGAAAATTCATTCGTTAAAGAAGTCAAATATTACTTAGAACAGCAAAACCTAAGCTTTTAATTTCTCCCAATATGTGATAATGCTTAAGGGAATGACACAGAAGACCTCATAACATTGCACTCAAATGTAGAGGTTTTTCCTTCCACTGATTACCACTTTGTTAATCGAATCAGTGGATCAAGGTATCATAAAAATATTCAAAGCTTATTATGTTAAGCATGTTTACATCTCTGCAGATAAAGTACTGCACAAAGGAAAGCACAACATGCTAATGGTCATTTTGAAAGCTATTTAACTTAAGACATTGCATAGAAATGATTAAACTTGCATGGAAATAAGTAAATTCATCAACAGTGAATGCTTGCTGGCATCAGCACTGGCCAGAAGTTATCAACAGTTTTAAAGGATTTCCATGGCCCACCAGCGGCCGAGCGGTAAAGTCGCTGAACACTGGTAGTTCGGTCCGTGGTTCGAATCCCGCGAACGGGCTGGCTGCATGGGTGTTTTCGTGGTTTTCCCCATGTGTAACGTGTATACGAACCAGTTTCCCTTAGAAAGTCCTCCACGAAGGCATCCCTCCCCCTTAGGCAGATAGCCCCTAGTGAGCTTTGCCATAATTAAATACACCAACACCAAAGGATTTCCATGTGTTTGAAAATGAACCCAAGGAAATTGTACAGAAACAGATTGCAAAAGCAACAGGCAAGGATCTTTAGATATGGGAGAAGGAGAAATCAGAGCTGTTCCTAGTGGGGAGGGGTGCAGCATGTGGAAGTATGCAGGTGGCCAAAATCAGGAGCGGCCGAACTGTCGCAACACCATCCCTAAATATTTTTAATTCATTAACACTATTATAATTTAGATTGGCGGAAAGATTGACATATTCTGAAATGCATCTACATATTAATATTGTAAGGATATTTCTGGCTAATTGTTAGTAGCATTAGCCAGATTCCAGAATGATGCAACAGCGGCAACGAACAATAAAAAAGTTCGAGAGGGGGGGCGGCAAAATTCACTACCAGCAGATGTACAGTTTGCCCATTTCAGTTAAGTTGTTTATATTTAGTGCCTAGTAGTGTATATAATTATTATCTTGGCATGCAGTGTTGAAATAAATATCTGCAGTGTGAAATAAAGTCCGAGATAAGTACCATGAGATAAATCTGAATTAATAATAGATATACAGTCAAAAGTCTTTAATCCGGACGTCCATAATCCGGAATGATCAATAATCTGGACCTCAAAGCTACAAACTTTCTCCGCATGCATTAACGTACAATGCGATTACGCATGCGCTTAAAACCTTTACGCATGCGCGTTTAATGTATAACGGACAGTATAAGCTAAGCTAAAATTATCTAATTATCTATTTCAGTTAATGTTGCAGATTGCGTTGTTCCTTAATCTTCGAATTGGATCCGGCTTATTATTTTTTGCAGACTGTTAGAGAAATTTTATAAAAGTAAGCTTGAACTTTCGATTATGTCAAAAAAGAATTTCCGATTCTGGAGGATCTACAAAGCGAAAGCATGTTTCGAAGTCCATCAAACTAAAA